AAACTAATATTAAAAAAAAAAATAAAAATATATTTTTAAAAATTATTAGTTAATATTTTTAATGGTATTTTTCATTATAAATATAATTTATTATAAAAAGAACTAAAATCAATTTATATATTTATTTATTTATTTAAATTTAGCTTAATAGATATATAATATATATTTTTAATATATTTAATGCGTCCAATTCCAGACCTTAAAATTTTGTTATTCTGATCCAGATCCTCTTTTCACAGATCTTAGATTTTAATATCTTTATCAAAATCCAAACTCTCCGGATATCCTAATTTTCAGAGCGATTCCGAACGGATAAGAGATCCGCCGATAATAATTTCACCCCTAGTCTTTGGATAGAGTCCCTTAAATTTAGAGCAAATGAATCTGCTTTGTAACTTTTATTCGCATCTCTCTCTTTCTCTTCTTCACTCGACTTATCTCTCATTTTCTGCTCTTGCGCCAAAGTTCTTCACCGGAAAACCTCTGAAAATTTCAACGGTGGAGATGGCTCTATCACGCCTCTCGTCACGATCCACCGGCATCTCTCGTCCCTTCTCCGCCGCTTTCAGCCGTTTTCTCTCAACGGACACAACGCCGATCACAATCGAGACTTCGCTTCCCTTCACCGCTCACCTATGTGACCCACCGTCTCGCTCCGTCGAATCTTCCAGTCAAGAGCTTCTCACTTTCTACCGTACAATGGCTCTGATGCGTCGGATGGAAATTGCAGCCGATTCGCTTTACAAAGCCAAGCTAATCCGAGGGTTTTGCCATCTCTACGACGGCCAGGAAGCTGTAGCTATCGGCATGGAAGCTGCGATCACGAAGAAGGATGCAATCATCACGGCTTATCGAGATCACTGCCTTTTCCTAGGTCGTGGTGGTTCGCTACACGAAGTTTTCTCAGAGCTTATGGGTAGGCAAGACGGTTGCTCTAAAGGGAAAGGTGGATCGATGCATTTCTACAAGAAGGAATCGTCGTTTTACGGTGGACATGGGATTGTCGGTGCTCAGGTTCCATTAGGTGTTGGTATTGCTTTTGCTCAGAAGTATTCTAAGGATGAGGCTGTGACGTTTACCATGTACGGTGATGGTGCTGCGAATCAGGGACAGCTTTTTGAAGCTCTGAATATTGCTGCTCTTTGGGATTTACCAGCAATTCTTGTCTGCGAGAACAATCACTGTAAGCAA